CGGTCGACTACGTGGGAGTCCAGCGACATAGCCATTACGCTAACTGCTGGTTCCCAATAAAGTTAAAATTTTTTAAAAAATGCTTCTGCTAAAAAAAAAATCTTTAAAAAATAAAAAAGAAGCACTCAATGTTCTCAGGGGTTCCTTCTGGGGGGAAGGGTCACGGGGAGACTTTGATTTCCCCCTGTATTTACAGTTTACACCGAGTGCATATTGTTTTTGTAATCAGGGAAGTGACATGTTTAAAAAGTAAGGGGGGGTGTGGATCGCCTGGGAACCAGTGACCAGGACCTTGGCGCCGGCCCTGGCTGACTGGCTGTGCTGCCTCGGGTTTCTGTGAAAACTGGGGGCACCTGTTCTTCCCTCCACAAAGGAACCAGGTAGACTCAGCAAGGACCGAAATACACAAGGCCCAGGAGCCAGTCCTGTGACACCATGGCAATGTGCCACTGAAGAAAGGCGGGTCCCACGTGGCAACTGTGATTCAAGTCCCTGGGTCAGTCAGTCATCCCGAAGCACATTGGTGAGTGTGCAGGTGCCCAGGATCTGAGGGGCTGGAGGACAGGAGGAAGGGGATTGTGGTGTGGCCAGACCCTGTGGAGGGTCTCTCTCTTTCTCTCTCTCTCTCTCATATACAAATGCTCTGTCATGGGTAAAGAAAAAAACAAAGGGCCAGCAGTTAGCGTAATGCCTATGTCGCTGAACTCCCATATAGCACACCACAGTTCAGGTCCCGGACCCGGTGGCTTAAACTCACGCCGGGCGCGTGTGCGTGTGTGCCCAAGATCCCGAGAGGAAAATGGAGGAGAAGGGATTGTGGTGTGGCCATCTCCCCTGAGAGGGTGATTTCTCACTCTCTGTCTCTCTGGCGAGCGCACACGCCCTATAGCAAAAACCTCTCCAGAAAAAAAAGAAGAAAGAAAAAAACTAAAAGCGCAATGGGAAGTATATGGTGTTCCATGCAAATGGCCAGACTGGTTACTTCTGTTTTCACTGTATTTTGTAAATCACAGCTCATCCGAATGTGATGGTAGACTATTTGGAGGGCAGCTAGCCATCCTGCGAGTCTCAGAAAGAGACTCAGACAGGCGGAACTCTGTTTGAAAAAAAGAAACATTTCAGAGGATGTGTACGCTAGAGAGGACCTCCCAATGAGGGATAGTCACGTTGCAACCCTTCTCCATCTTATTGGGATTGAGGGCATGCACACACATGCACACACATGCACATACATGCACACACATGCACACACATGCACATATGCCCAGCATGTTTTTCAAGCCACCAGGGCCAGGATTTGAACCATACTGTTAAGCCATGTAGGATCCAGCTTTCTTAAATATTAGGCCATGGGACCAGCCCAGGCAAAAACCACCGATGTGTGGTTGAGGGCTCCCACTCGGGCACCAGCTGCAGAGTCTTAGTTTCCAATCGTGTTGTAAACCTGCTGTGTGTGCTTGGGCACATTACCACCCCTCTCTGACTTTCAGTTCCTTCTCTGTGAAATGGGGCTTGTCTTTTGAGCACTCAGCAGTTAATACATATAGAGTTCGGGGGAGAGGGTCTATTTTAGTGCTACTGTTTATTGCAATTTTCTTTTCTTTTTTTCTCTTTTTTGGAGAGTTTTTTTTTTTTGCTATAGGGTACGTGCACTCGCCAGAAAGACAGAGAGAGACAGAAAGCGAGAAATCACCCCCCAGGGGAGATGGCCACGCCGCAATCCCTTTTCCTCCATTCTCCTTTCAGGATCTTGGGCATGCACACACACGCGCCCAGCGTGAGTTTAAGCCACCGGGTCCGGGACTTGAACTGCGGTCGACAACGTGGGAGTCCAGTGACATAGCCATTATGCTAACTGCTGGTCCCATTGCTATTTTCTTTGAGAGACTCTCTAACTCCACATTTAAGAGCAGAGACCCTAGGTCTCCTATCACAGCTCTACCACGCTCTTGCTCTGTAACCTTGGGCCAGTTCCCTAATCGCGCTGTGCCTTAGTGTTCTCGGCTGGAAAACAGGTCTTGTAATGGTACGTACTTCCGGAAGGTAGATGTGAGGATGAAATAAGCCGGTATATTTAAAGCCCAGTCCTTGGTTAGGACGCCATAGCTGTTAGAATAATTACAGCAGACTGAACCCTCACAAAATCCTTCATTGCTAAGTCTTATTTATTTTACGGATGAGAACACTGGCTCGCGAAAGCCCAGGCTCTGCATTTCCAGGTTCTGCCTTGGTCTCAGGGCTGGCAGGACCCAAAGGCTTAAGACCAAGGTCGCCCCACCTTGGCAAAGGAAGTGGAGACCTGCTCGACCCCTCTGTGACCTCTCCTGAGGGAGCCACTCCCGAGGTCCTCGTGTTCTTTCCTCCTGTCCTTTGTGAATGCTCTCTTCCTTTTAGAAAGACATGCCATCAGTCCTCTGGCCAGCCTCCTGTTCAGGCATCCCACAATGGCAGCCTGGTTTCCCATCATTCCTTCACTCTAGGCCCATTTATCACCTCTTTTTTTTTTTTTAAGAATTATTGGGACCAGCAGTTAGCGTAATGGCTATGTTGCTGAACTCCCACGTAGTCGACCATGGTTTGAGTCCCGGACCTGGTGGTTTAAACTCACGCCAGGCATGTGTGTGTGTGTGTCCAAGATCCCAAGAGGAGAATGGAGGAGAAGGGATTATGGTGTGGCCATCCCCCTGGGGGGGTGATTTCTCGCTTTCTGTCTCTCTGTTTCTGTCTTTCTGGTGAATGCATGCATCCTATAGCAAAAATCTCTCAAAAAAAAAAAAAGAATTATTTTATTTAACTTTATTTGTTTATTTATTTTTAATTTGACCAGAGAGGGAGAGACAGAGAGAGAAAGTGAGAAAGCAAGCCACCAGGCTTGGGATTTGAACCGTAGTTAGCCATGTAGGAGACCAGCGCCCTTAACCACCACTCCACCTGCTGGCCCCTTATCTCTGCCTTTTAATGAGTTTTCCCAGACTCTAGATCTGTGTTCAAATTCCAGCTCAGCTCTTTATGAGCTGTGTGACCTTGGGCAAGTTTCTTAGCCTCTCTGTGTCTCAATCTCTTCACCTATAAAACAGAGACCCTAATGCTGTCTGCCTAACAGCATTATTGCAAGCCATGAGAACAGGGCCCAGGCTCTAGTAAGTGCCAACGTAAGTGTTGGGTGGTGGTGTCGTTGCTGTTATATACAATCAGAGTTAAATTCCTGGTGTTTCCCCGGGAGGAAGAAGGTAGAGACTCCGATGCTGTTTAGGGATCCCCCGAAGGCAGACTTTCTTTTTTTTTAATTACAGAGAGAGACAGAGAGATAGAAAGCAAGAAATCACCCCCCTAGGGGGGATGGCCACAATCGCAATCCCTTCTCCTCCATTGTCCTCTCGGGACCTTGGGCATGCGTGCACACGCGCCCGGTGTGAGTTTTAAGCCACCAGGTCCGGGACTCGAACCGTGGTTGACTACATGGGAGTCCAGCGACACAGCTATTACACTAACTGCTGGTCCCAAGGCAGACTTTCTGCTGCCTGTGCCCAATTTCTGTTATGCATGTGGCTCTTTTCAGGCCAGAGGGCGTTCCGCAGTCCGACCCTGTGGTCAGGGTGTGAACCGCTTCACAACCCCAGTCTCAAGTTTTCCAGCCACAGCTGAGCCAGGAATGCAGGGCGAGAATGCCAGAGTCACTGTCAGAGGGCCAGAGAGGCCATCCCACGCTGAGCCAGGGCAGAGCTCAGGCCTTTGGAGCCCTGTCTACCCCATCCTCTCGGAAGCCATCATTGTAGGAGCCTCCCAAGGGAGGGGTGGGGTAGCCACAGGACCACTCGCAGTGACAGAGGTCAGGGAGGCTGTGCCAGCTGGAGGCAGCACTTGAATTCTGCTCAAGTGGAAGCAGTGGGGGCTCAGAGTTGACCGCGCTTCCTGCTCCCTGCTGGGGCAGAACTGGCCTAGGCTGGAAAGGCAACTCAGAGGAGAGAATTTTGGAGGCACTGCATTCAGGGGACTGCTGGGGGCAGAGAAGCAGAAAAGAAAAAGATGAGGAGCGAGGCAAAGGCACGAGAAAGGAGGCTGTGGGGGTGAATTCCACCATTGTTAGTGGAACGCTGCTCCGAGGCCAGCCTTCTGCTGCAGAGGTCTGAGGACACAGCTGCAGCTGCAGGGGGTCCCGTCTAGCAGGAGAGGCAAGCTGTCCTCGAAAAGCTGCTCCACTTCTAGGAGGCCGACGCTAGACAGAGGAGTGACTTTATGTAAGTGCTCGCGGGGCTGGGGCAGGCTTCTGGGAGGTGAGGGTTTGGTATTTTAACAGACCATGTGATTTTCCAATTCTAAGGAAGCCAGCAAATGTATTTTCTGCAATGAGTGATCCCGAATGGCGTTCTTAGCTTTATATTCCAAAGCCAGGTGGCCTCCTGAGGGCGCGCTGTGTCTTGCTTGTCTGAGCAGCGTGCAGGCTTTATTGGCAGCTCTGAAAAGTACACACAGCGCAGGTGTGTCTGGGGGCCTCCCGTGGCCCTGTCCTTAAGAGCGTTTGGCCGGCAGAGTGGGACGTAGCAATGGAATTGATGTGGAAAGCAGAAGAGGGAAGATAGTGGGAGACCCAAAAAAGGAAGCCAGTGAACTGCGCAGGATTTGAATAAGTTCTATGGAGTCCTGACTGAGGTGTGCTCATAGAAGTCTGACAACAGCTCCGAGCCCGGGGCCTGGAGGAGCTAGGATGGCATAGGAGGGGGAAGCCCTGAGTTAGAGCGTTTGTCATGGTGTACATGTTCCCAGTGTCATGGGTTGAACGCCTCCTCCCAGACGCCATCCACCTGGCTCCTGCAAGCCTGTCGGGCCAACTCTGCCCTCCAGTGCTTTTGGATACTCTCTGCCTCTAGTCTCACTGTCAGGGCTTCATTCTTCAAATTCAAGTTTAGTCCCTTTTGGAAAAAGAGCTGGGCAGGGGGTTGGGGGCGGGAATCACCAGCCCCACCTGTGTGATTAGTGCTATCCTATCCTGGGTCTGCCTGGTGCTGATGTGAGGCTGTGGGTAGTCGTTTTTCTCCTCCTCCTCCTTCTCCTCTTCTTCTTTTCTTCTCCTTCTTCTTCTTCTTCTTCATAGCAAAGTGGGGAGTTTATTAAAGGAGAGGGAAGGAAAAACAGAGCTCCCAAGAAGGGGGGGGGTCCCGGAAAATGGGTTGCCTGTTTTTCACTTCTTTAAAGCCTCAGTTTTCTCATCTGGAAAATAGTGACCACGACGATAGGGTTGCTTCCCAGGACTATGGTGAAGACAAAGTAAGAAGATTACGCCTGAGTTTACAGTCCATAGAAGGAGCTCCACTAATGTGGCTGCCTTCTCATGCAGATGGACGTAGAAATATCTTCCCTCTATTTTTTTTTTTTGAGAGATTTTTCGCTATAGGGTGCATGTGCTCACCAGACAGAGAGAGACAGAGAGACAGAAAGCGAGAAATCACCCCCAAGGGGGGATGGTCACGCCACAATCCCTTCTCCTCCATTCTCCTCTTGGGATCTTGGGCACGCACGCACACGAGCCCGGCATGAGTTTTAAGCCACCGGGTCTGGGACATGAACCGTGGTCGACTACGTGGGAGTCCAGCAACATAGCCATTACACTAACTGCTGGTTCCCTAAATATCTTCCCTCTTGTCTCAACTTTCCAAGAGACGTTGGGAGGTGAGTCCTGGATCCCCAGGGGGAGACATTAATTCGTGGCCAGAGGTTCTTAGAATGCAAAGTCAGTCTTGGGACCAGCAGATGGCGTAATGGTTACATTGCTGGACTCCCACGTAGTCGACCACGGTTCATGTCCCAGACCCGGTGGCTTAAAACTCATGCCGGGCTCGTGTGCGTGCGTGCCCAAGATCCCAAGAGGAGAATGGAGGAGTGATTGCTGTATGGCCATCCTCCCAGGGGTGATTTCTCGCTTTCTGTCTGTTTCTTTCTATGTCTCCAGCAAGCTCATACACCCTATAGCAAAAATCTTTCCTAACAACAACAAAAAAAAAGAATGCAAAGTCAGCCTAGGCCTGCAGCCTCAGGAGGTCATGAAAAGGACAACGTTACTGCCTCAGAGACCAGCTGTGGTACGTCTACGCCCTTGGCTTCATGTAGGGGAGCTCAGCTGCTCCTGTGCTTGCTGTCCCTCTTTCTTTACTCCTCCTTCTTGGTCCCCCCCGTGTAGTTCTCCGGATTCCCCAAGGTCTCCACTGCCCAGCTCACCCAGGTTGCCTTACTGTCTGCTCACACTAACCTGAATGACCAGCACTATGGCTTTTCTCAAGGTGTTGCTGAATGAACCATGTGAATTCAGGCCACAAGGAAAAGTGAAAACCAAAAACAAAATCAGGGCACAGAATGGGTGTAGGCAGAGGACAGCTCCACGTTTCTGATGGTGTTCAGGGCTCAGGACAGGCGCCAGCCACTCACAGCATGCCTCGTACACGTTGCACAAGTCGAGCCTTAGTTTCCACACCGGTAAGTGGAAGGGGCGAGACTGGATGTGCTCTCATATCCTCAGTCTAAGGTTCTGAGTCCACGGAAGGTCATGGGAAGCGTATTCATTTCCTATTGTGTTGTAATACATTATTACAAATATGGTGGTCCAGACATCACATTTATTATCTTTCTGTTCTCGGGGTCAGGAGTGTAAAACAGGGTGTAGGGCTGCAACCCCTCCGGAGGGTTGGGGAGAATCTGTTCCTTGCGGCTTTCAGCTTCTAGAGGCCACCTGCCCTCAGTGCCCTCAGGCTGCATCGCTCTGTTCACGGTTCTCTGACTCTGACCCTTTTTCACCTTCATTGTTTTTAAGTGTTTTTTAAATTATTTAATTGTATTTATTCATTCATTTATTTTCATTTAACCAGGCACACACATGCACACGCGCATGCGCACGCACACAGAAAGTGAGAAAGCAAGCTGTCAGGTCCAGGACTTGAACCATGGTCGGCAATGTGGTAGTGTCCAGCGCCTTAACTTCACCTTCTTATCAGGACCTTCGTGACAGCACCACGACTGCCTGAATGATTCAGGGTAATCTTTGCCTCTCGAGATCTTTAATTTCATCATACCCTTTTGATTTCCAAGGTGGCATAGTCACCAGGGTCAGAGACTAGAACGTGTCTGTCTGTGGGGAGGCGTTTCACAAGGAAGCTCCTGTGAAGCCTTGAAGCTTTAATGGTGGAATCTATAGCAGCTAGACCAGCCAGTGAGGTCAAGATCCTGTCTGCCCAACCAAGAATTCAGTCATTTCCCTTCTCAGTGACCCCTTCTGAGAACCAGTGTTTGGGGCAGAACAGAGGAAGTGAGTGAGATGGGCCTAGTCACAGTGCACCTGGAGTCTGAAGACCGGGGGTTCAGACCAGCTTGGCCAGTGCCTTCCTGTATGACCTTGGGAAAGTGACTTTGCTCTTGGATTAAAAGGTGAACAGCTTCCTCCTGGGTTGAAGCGTGGGACCACCATAGTGGCTGCAGTGGCACCAAGCCAACTGTGATGTACACATTGGGAGTACTGGTTGCTATCGTCATTGTCGAAATTCTCGATGAGAATGATGGGAAGGGATGGTTGCTCCAGAGGTATGGAGGGCCTGGACAAGTTCCCAGAGTTGGAAGATCAAGGGGCTGAAACCTGCAAGTGGGAAGGGGACTGAGAGTCCTAGGTTGAAGGAGACTTTCAAACGTAGGGTGGACCAGACCAGAGCCTGCCAACTTTGACCTCTGGCTTGGATGTGAGAAATCATTCGTCAGACCCAGTTGTTTTCTAAAGCAAACGTTAGGAACTTTGGGAAATCAGGTGAAGACCAAGGTCAATGCTGACAGTTCAGAAGATCTGGTGTTTAATTATTGTCAGCTCCTGACTGATAAGCCCCAAGTCAGCTCAAGTGCAAAGAACATGCCTCAGCCCTCTCCCCTACTCCACACAGTTCATAGCTATGGGCTGGGGTGCTCTTTAGCCCAGAAAGGGTAGGGGCTCCAGGCTGGGAGACTCCAGAGGCACAAGAGGGGAATGGAGGATGAGCAAAGGAAAGCCCTTGGTGAAGTTCTCAAGGCTAGTCAGGAGCAGAACTGGGCCATGGATAAAGCTGCCCAGGTTGAGGTCCAGCAGCAGGGATGGGTATGACTACGCCAACATCTGGTCTGCTTGATAGAAGAACGAGTGTGAGGCAGAGGCTCAGGGAGTGGGGGGGACTCAAGAGCTCCCTGGGAGAGGCTCTGCCTCAGCAGCCTGGGATATTTCCATCGGGGTGAGGTCACAGTGTCACGGGCACTAAGAATCAGCTGAGAGCCTGACTCAACGTTTCTTTCAAATTCTACCTGAAAAAAAGGGACAAAATTTCCATTGGGAAGAACCGGAGAAAATGTCTGGAATATATATGAAAAAGCTCAAATCTTTGCTAAAGCCCCTTATTAAGCGGGAACCCTACCTATTCACGTAATAAATAAGTTATAGAGGAAATACAGACAGGCACTGAACCTATGACAGAGTTCCATCTCACTTGAATCCGAGAATAAAAAATTAAATGCAGAAGTACCGGGCAGAATTAATTTTGCATTTCTCAATTTGCATTTCTCAGTTTGCCTTCTCTCTCCTTCCAAACAGAATACAGGACTGAGCATAATTCTCAGTTCTTGACAGACTCGCATCACTGGGTCACATGAGTTTCTCTTTAAAATTTTTTTTTTAAATAATGCAATCATGTCCAAGGATGCCACAGCCCTCAGGGGAAACTCCATGAACAGTGGCGCGCCCCTTCCCAGGCTGTGCCTTTGGCTTCTCTGGCTCAACCAAATGCCATCTCCTATCTGGTGCCTGTCATCTCCTGCCTTCCCTTTCATCAATCCCTACTCCTTCAGAGTCTATTTTTTGTTTCATTTATCTTTTTTGAAAAAAATTTATTTTTTAGTTGCCAGAAAGTGCATGTGCTCACCAGGGAGTGACTGAGAGAGAAAGACAGAGAGAGAGAGAGAGAGAGAGAGAGAGAGGAGAAAGCATCCCTCAAGGGAGCATAGTCATGCCAAAATCTCTTCACCTCCATGTCTTCATTCTGTTGGGACTGGGCACACATGCCCAGGATGTACTTCGAGCTGCTTGTGTCAAGAGTTGAGCTTTGGTGGGACCAGCAGTTAGCGTAATGGCTATGTCGCTGGACTCCCACGTAGTCGACCGCGGTTCGCGTCCTGGACCCGGTGGCTTAAAACTCACGCCGGGCGCATGTGCGTGCATGCCCAAGATCCCGCAAGGAGAATGGAGAAGGGATTGCGGCATGGCCATCCCCCCTGGGGGGTGATTTCTCACTTTCTGTCTCTCTGTCTCTGTCTGTCTGGCGAGCGCACGCGCCCTATAGAAGGGATTGCGGCATGGCCATCCCCCCTGGGGGGTGATTTCTCACTTTCTGTCTCTCTGTCTCTGTCTGTCTGGCGAGCGCACGCGCCCTATAGCAAAAACCTCCCAAAAAAAAAAAAAAAAAAGAGTTGAGCTTTGGTCAGCCAGGTAGGATCTGACTCCCTTAAACCACTGCACTGCAGAGTTGGCCCCATATTAATTGTACTAAGAGTATCACATATTTAAGGGCCAACAGGTGATATGGTGTTAAGGCACTGAATTCCCACATGGCTGACTGTGGTTCGAGTCCTATACCCAGTGTCTTGAAAATCACACCAGGCACATGTATGCTTGTGCTCAAACTCCCGGGAGAACTGAGGAGAAAGGATTGTGGTGTGGCCATCTCCACCGAGTTCTCATTTTCCCTCTCTCTGTCTCCCTCTAGCATGTGCACTCACCCTATGGCAAAAAAGAGTATCACTGTATATTTTTATGGGATTTGAGGATAAGTAGACAGATTGAAGAGTAGAGACTCACAGGGGTGATACGGGTAATGAGGAGGGAGTCTGGGAGGTCCTCCATTCTTCAGGTGACTTGATGGTTAGTGGGGAAGAGGGCTCAGATCTGGGCAGAGCAGTCATTGAAACGAACATTTGCTGGTGCCCGTCATGTCCTAGGCACTTTCTGAAGAATTTGCAGTGTGCTGTGTGTGTCATCACATTGAAGTCTCTCAGGAACTTTGTGAGGTAGGCAACTATTAGTACTCTCATTTTAAAGATGAGGAAATGGAGGGACAGAAAGGTTCAGTAGAGGGCAGTCAGTGGGTGGTATGATGGTTAGGGCTCTGGACTCCCACATGGCTGACCTAGTTTGAATCCCAGATCTGACACTTGCTTTCTTACTTTCTCTCTCTCTCTCTCTCTCTTTTTTTTTTCCTTTTTGAGAGGTTTTTGCTATAGGGCGCGTGCACTCACCACAAAGACAGAGAGACAGAGAGACAAAAGCAAGAACTCACCCCCCAAGTGGGGATGGCTACGCCGCAATCCCTTCTCCTCCATTCTCCTCTTGGGATCTTGGGGATGCACGTACACGCGCCCCGCGTGAGTTTAAGCCACCGGGACTCGAACTGCGGTTGACTACATGGGAGTTCAGCAACATAGCCATTATGCTAACTGCTGGTCTCCCCCCAAAAAATTCTTTTCAAAATAAGAAAGATTCAGTAGGTTCTGAATCCATCAACATGATGATCACGCCTTTCTGCGACAAACAGAAATATCAGATAAAATATTTTTAAATTTTTAAACCTTTATAAATAAAATATGGATATACAACTAAATATTTATAAGTAAAATATTTAGAAATTGTCACAAATCAAAGGAAATTTTTATGTAAAAGAAGTAAAAATAAAAAATACTCAAAGTCAGGACAGACACACTGAACTTTTGTAGATAAAACAATCCCCACTGTGGGGAATCTTATTAAAAAAAAAAAAAAAAAAGGGAGGGGGACAACCGGCATAATGGCTATGTCGCTGGACTCCCATGTAGTCAACCGTGGTTTGAATCCCAGACCCGGTGGCTTAAACTCATTCCGGGTGCGCGTGTGTGTGCGTGCCCAAGATCCCGAGAGGAGAAAGGAGGAGAAGAGATTGCGGTGTGGCCATCCCCCTGGGGGTTGATTTCTCACTTTCTGTCTCTCTGTCTCTCTGTCTTTCTGGCGAGCGCACGCACCTTATAGCCAAAAAAAACTCTCAAAAAAAAAAAAAAAACAAGATAAACCACACAAGAAAGAATAAGGATAAGCAACACCTGAAGAAGCGTCAGGAAACACAATAGATGAAATGGTAGCCCTAAATAAGGAACCCGAGAAACATTATAAGTTTTTCCCCATCATGAGAAAGACTTTTTTTTTTTTTTTTTGCGAGGGTTTTTCT